TGGGAGGAGGCAACGGTCAAAAGGCCAAGATGGCACGTGAGAAGAACTTGGAGAAGCAGAAAGCCGCCGGCAAGGGTAAAATTCCGTCTTTGTTGTTGTCACAGACATACATTAATTCTCCAGTTGCATAAAATAAAGAATTTTTTTTTGAACTTTTGTATTATATTGGCGGACAAATATCCATTGTGAGAAAATAAAGAAAAACTTTTATGTTTAAAAGCTAGAAATTTTTATTTTTCTTGGCAACTCCTTTTGGGGATTATGGTTAGATCTAGTTGTTGGTCTTGTACAATTTGGTTAATTTTTTAATTTACACAGGAAGCCAGCTTAAAACAAACGAGAAAGCCATGTCCATCCAGGTAATTCTTTGGGGTGTTTCTAACTCCTTTTTAGTTTCTAAGGAAAATTACTTAACTAGTTGTTGATGACTATGCTTCCTAGTTAATTCAAGAACCATTTGTTTAAGTCTGTCTCGATTTTAGTCTTGATGGGTTTGTCATAAATACTTTCTGCTTATTAGTAGCTGACTGCATAATTCAAGAACCATTGGCTAAGATGACTGCATAATTCAAGAGCATCTTGTTGTATATATCGATAATTTGTAGCTGGTGATGAAGCCTCTTTGTTTTTGCTTATCATTCTTTATTTTGTGCTAAGGGAGTGATTTGTATGAGCTTTGGGGCTAGGATAGTTAAAGTACAGTACAATTAGTTGTGGGCTGATCAATATAGTCAAATCTAATTGTTTCCCAGGGAGCTAATGTGTTCTCTTTCATCTGCATACTATGACCGATTATCATTGAGTAATGGTATTGCAAATGTTGACTGCAGTGCAAGGTGTGTATGCAAGCATTTATGTGCACCACATCAGAGGTGAAGTGCAGGGAACATGCTGAAGCAAAGCATCCCAAGTCTGATGTGTACGCTTGTTTCCCTCATCTCAAGAAATGAACAAAATGTGAGAAGAAGTTGTAGGGACAAACTGTGAACGTTATGGCCCTCTATATTAAGCTTTCTAGAATGAATTTACCAACAGTTCTTCTGGATTGATAGCTATTTAATACTGGTTGTGAAGTGTTTGTGTGTGTTAATGTGAGTGAGGGAGAGAGCAAGAGAAAGACATGTATCTCCTTGTTGAACTGAATCTTGGTCTTAAATGATCATGAATGTTGGTGCTATTGCTCTTTGTAAGA